TGTGTGTGTGTGTGTGTGTGTGTAAGAACACAACATGAATTCTTCCCTCTCAACAAAATTTTAAGTATACAATACACATATTATTAACTATAGGCACAATGTTGCATAGAAGATCTCTAGAGTTTAATCATCTTGCATAACTGAAACCTTATACTATTGAAAATAACTTCCCATTTACCCCTCCCACAAGCCTCTGGTAACCACCATTCTACTCTGCTTCTAAGCATTATCACCCATATTTTCCCTTCTGTTACTGGCTTATTTCGCTTAGCATAATGTCCTTAAAGTTCATACATGCTGTATATAGTGGAATTTCTTTCTTTTTTAAAGCTGAATAATATTCCATTGTATGTATATATACCACACTTTCTTTATCAATTCACCACATACATTTACGTTATTTTCACAACTTGTCTCTTGTGAACAAAGGTGCAGTGAATATAGGAGCACAAATATTTTTTCAAGATCCTAATTCCAATTATTTTGGATAAATACCCAAGAGTAGAGTTGCTGTATCATATGGTAGTTCTACTTTTCTTTTTTTTTTTAGGACCCTCCGTACTGTTTTCCACACTGGCTGCACCATTTTGCATTTCACGAAAGGGTGAGCAAGGGCTCCGACTTCTCCACATACTCATCAACACTTGTTAGCTTTTAGGTTTATTATAATGGCCCACCCAACATGTTTGAGGTGATACCTCATTGTGGTTGTTTTTTTGTTTTTTTTTTTTGAGTTGGCGTCTCATTCTGTTGCCCAGACTGGAGTGCAGTGGCCGCTCCCGGCCACCACAGCCTCGACCTTCTGGGCTCCGGCAATCCTTCCACCTCAGCCTTCCAAGTAGCTGGAACTACAGGTGCGCGCTACCACGCCCGGCTATATTTTACTTCTTAAGATCAGTAATCACTAACAAGCTCTCTAGTCTTACATCCTATGAAATGAATTTGATGAGTTCCTTTTTTTTTTTTAATCCTAGAGTTAATTGAATACTTTAAGTCTCAGATGAAAAAAGATCCTGACATGGCCTCAGCAGTGGCTGCCATCCGGACTTTGCTGGAGTTCTTGAAGAGAGATAAAGGTAAAGAGGGTCATTTGTGAACACTGTGGGTCTACAGAAGGGATTCTGGTGACTCGTAGACATGTAGAAAGTGAGAGATGCATGTTTGCCTGCGTAAGGTAATACAACCCCAGGCTTGGCTTCTGCCTTCCTTTTAGGCCTTTGAATCAGGAGAGAACCCTCCAGTGATCATCTAAAGGATCTCCTTTCATAAAGTAAATATGCTTTGAATCAAGAATGGTCATTTTATATCATGTTAACTACGAAACTTAAATTACAGCAATAGTTCAGCTTTATAGGTGTGTATTAGGCTTCCTTGCAACAGATTCTGTGCAGATGCTACAGAGAATGTTCCAGAATAAATTCTGGTAGTACTATTACTATGTTCGATCTCCTTCTAATTTGGCATCCTAAATGTAAGCATCTGAGTGTAGCATGACATAATAAACAAAACAATAAGTTTCTGTTTAATATGAAAGGCTGGCCTAGAGGCTTCTGTCTTTAAGGCAACCTCCAGTGTCTTTCCCTTGTTCTGAAAATAACATCCAGACACCATGGCCTCACCTGCACTGCCTTTTAGACCTCACCTGCTGCTGCTACTTAATGTCCTTCCATGCTGTCCCTCACTGCACTGTGCTTCAGCCCCACTGGCCTCTTTGTTTCTCATACCAAATGTGTTCCCATCTCAGGGCCTTTGTGTTCTTATAGTCTGCACCTGGGATGGTTTCACAAGGGATCTGTGGCTGGATCCTTTTTTATTCAGGTCTCAATTTAGATGGCCTCCAAGCTAAGAGGCCACCCCATTAAGTAGCCCTATCCTGCTCATCTTTCTGCTGTTTCTTTCCCCATTACAAATGTCTATAATTCACCTGTTTGTTTTTCTTCTTTATTGTCTGCCTCCTTCAATAGAAAGGGAACTTCCTCAAAGCAGAGCCTTGTCTGTGTTGTTCATTGCTGTACCCCTAGCACCCAGAACAGTGCCTGGCATACAATGTGCACCCAGTGAATATTCAATAAGTGAATGAATGAATCGCAGACCCAGCTAGGGGCTGTAATACTAAAATGAACATCACATGCCTTGTTTGATCATTCCAGGGGAGACAATCCAGGGCCTGAGAGCGAATCTCACCAGTGCCATAGAAACCCTGTGTGGTGTGGACTCCTCAGTAGCAGTGTCCTCTGGCGGGGAGCTCTTCCTTCGTTTCATCAGCCTTACCTCGCTGGAATACTCCGTAAGCCCCTGCCTTCCTTCGGGTTCTCTTTCCTCTTCTCTCTTTAGCTACAAATATTCTCAGCTTTTCCCAGGTCTTCCCTGTCCCTCACTTTGCTCTTTTCTTCCTAGGATTACTCCAAATGTAAAAAGATAATGATTGAGCGGGGAGAACTTTTTCTCAGGAGAATATCACTGTCAAGAAGTAAAATTGCAGATCTGTGCCATACTTTCATCAAAGATGGGGCGGTGAGTAGATATCCATCGTGCATGTTAACTAGGAGCACGGGTTTTGGAGTCCAACTGCCTGGGGAAGACCCTGGGTTTGCCACATCCTTGCTGTGGACATGGCTTAATCTCTCTCTGCAGTTCTCTTATCTATCAAATAAAGGTGAAAATAGTACCTACCTCATAAGGTTGTCGGGAAGATTAAATGGGATAGAAAGCATAAGGGCTAGGCACTATGTCTGGCTGGTAGTAAGTGCTAAATAAATGTATATGTTATTACTGTAGATGGTCGTCATTGTAAAAAGAAAGACACTGGGACAGCATGGATGCTTCTTGATTCAGTAAGATGTTTTACTAAAGATGTATTTTAGTGATTGCACATGTAGTAAATTGATTTGAACGAAATCAGTACAGAAGAGTCACTGGTTAGTACTGAGCTTCTTCCCAGTGGTGGTTAGCACTGGAGGGAAATTTTCTTTTTAACTTCATTTCCAGCACTGTTGCAGAGAAGTAAAACTGCCAAGTGTTTATAGGTTAAGTGAGGAAAGACTGGAGCTGCAAGTTAAGCCAGTCTTCCAGCAAAGGGCTAATAGAGCTTTTATTAGTCTTTCCCACCAGCATATATCCTTCTGCCACCTAAGCCTCCACTGATCATAAAATTTACTTGCGTTTTGACTCTTAAATCTTGTCCTCTGTCTTCTTACCCCTTCTCCAACCTTTGAAGTATGTTACTAAATAAGTAGCATAATAGATGTGAATGGAGCGAATACAAAGGCCAGTTGCAAACAAAGCCTTTTTTGGCCAGGTGGAGGCAGGGTTGAGACTGCCTCCTGCTGAGGCCGTGTCCTTCTGCAGACTCTCCAAGCTGTTCCTACTCTGCAGGCTTTGTTTGCTATAGCGTAGTGTAATGTGTGAACACATTACCCACAGTCGCCTGCTCAGCACTGATTTAGATTCAGGGCAGAGCCACTCAGATGTGAATGTGCAGATTAATCACTTGGGTGTTTTATTAAATACAGGTTTGGATTCAGTGAGTCTGGGGTAGTGCCCGAGAACCTGCATTTCTTGTTTTTTGTTTTGTTTTGTTTTAAAGTCGGGGTCTCACTCTGTTGCCCAGGCTAGAGGGCAGTGGCACCATCATAGTCGCTTCAACCTCGACCTCCTGGGCTCAGGCGATACTTCCGCCACAGCCTTCCGAGTAGCTGAGACTACAGGTACATGCCACCACACCTCGGCTAATTTTGCAGGAGAGGTTTGATAGAGTCAAGGTCTCACTATGTTGCCTAGGCTAGTCTTGAGCTCATGAGCTCAAGCAGTCCTCCCACCTCAGTGCTGGGATTCCGGTGTAGACCACTGTACCTGGCAGAACCTGCATTTCTCACAAGCTCTCGGGTGAGGCCCAGAAAACAGCCAGGGAGCTGTGTCCACCACCTTGCATTACATGTTTCTCTGTGCTCTTCCTTAGACAGAGGCTGCATATAAGTGTCTACAAACTGTATCCATGCCATACAAGGGTTGGGTTTACCCCAACAGTGTTTATGCATTTTGAAAAATCAGTTAGCCAGCAGTTCAATATTCAACTTTCAGCTCCTCTAAAAAAAAAATTAGATGGTCTGGCAACAGAGGGACTATGTGTCGCCAGTGGAGCTGAGGCATCCTGGTTCTCCTTAGCCTTTTTGCTTTGTTGCTGGCCCCTCCCCCAGCCTACTGCAGTGATGTATGCTACCTGCCTCATGCCTGCAGGCCCAAGGGTATACAATACATGGGTTGGAAGTAGGGAAATCAGACTGGGTGTGGTGGCTCACACCTGTAATCCCAGCACTTTGGGAGGTGGAGGCAAGGGAATTGTCTGAGCCTGGGGGGTTCAAGACCAGCCTAGGCAACTTGACAAGACCTTGTCTCTACAATAAATCAAAAAATTAGCCGGGCGTGGTGGTGTGCCTCTGTAGTTCCAGCTACTTGGAAGGGTGAGGTGGAAGGATCGCCTGAGCCCAGCAAGTCGAGGCCATGATGGTCGTGAGTGTGCCACTGCACTCTAGCCTGGGTGACAGAGTGAGACTCCGGCTGAAAAAAAAAAAGAAATAGGGAAATTAACCCAAAGGAGCCTCAAAGAGCTTTCAGACATCCAGGCTTTTGTATCTTGTGAGTGACACTGACGCTGTGTTGGAGTTCCACTTCTGCACCTGCTGGAGGAAGGGAGACCCTTGCTCTATCATTCCTGTGGCAGAAATGTTCTCAGCTTGTAAATGGACTGGAAACTCTTTACCATCAGGTCTCCTTTCTGATTATCATTAATTTGTGAGAAAGCATCCAGAGAAGCTAAGGGCGCCCAGAACATGTGTTACAGTGCAGGGCATGGGTGATCACCAGGGAGCTTCCCCCTTTAACGAAGCTTTCTCGGTCTACAGAGAATATTGACTCACGCCTACTCCAGAGTGGTCTTGAGAGTCCTGGAAGCAGCTGTGGCAGCCAAGAAGCGTTTCAGTGTATACATCACAGAGTCACAGCCTGATTTATCAGGGCAAGTACCTTTCTGTTTGGTTGTGTGCCCAGCCTTCATTCTGAAGAGAAAACTGAGGGTTCAAGTCCATCATAATAGAACCAGAATGTGTGCCTCATTTGCCAGCAGTCATTATCACCTTGTGCTTGTCCTGCCTCTGGAAGAAAAATCACTGTGAGTTTACAGTGGGTCATAGTATCGGATCTAGGGCCTCACTTCTGTAGTTAAATCAGAGGAACAGCAATAGATTGTGGTGATGAGACTTTTTCATCAAGGATTAGGTAATTCACATCTCCATCTCTCCAGAAAATAAAAGCAAAACTTTCTTTTTTTTTCTGAACTTACATTTCTTACTGAGTCCCTAAGAGTATATACTTTTCCTGAAGTACATACTTCTAAAGAATCCAGATTGTTGTTTCCTTAGTCAGAGTCTTGGGATCTCCCCTTAATCCATTAATATTAACTGAATTTTTTGGCTGGGCGCAATGGTTCATGCCTATAATCCCAGCACTTTAGGAGGCCAAGGTGAGAGGTGTAGGCCTGAGCCTACGGGTTCGAGACCAGCCTGGGCAACTTGGCGAGACCTTGTTTGTACAATAAATCAAAAAACTAGCTAGGCATGGTGGCACACGCCTATAGTTTCGGCTACTTGGAAGGCTAAAGCAGAAGGATCCCCTGAACCCATTAGGTCAAGGCTGCGGTAGCCATGATCGTGCTACTATACTCCAGCCTGGGTGACTGAGACTCCAACTCAAAAAGAAAAAAAAAACCAGTATTAACTGAGTTTCAAGTTTACATGACTTATCGCTGTCCAAATTAAGTGACTCATCACACATCACTAAGGGACTTTCTTGAACTTTCTCTCATGTTCTCAAATGTCATCTTCAGTAAGAAAATGGCCAAAGCCCTCTGCCACCTCAACGTCCCTGTCACCGTGGTGCTGGATGCTGCTGTCGGGTAAGTGCCCATCTCACCCACCAAGTTCACCTTTCCTCACCCACCTCCAGAGCTGAAAACCCAGAGCAGGGCTTTCAGATTGAAGGTTTGAGGCCCTTTCATGAAACTGCACTGGGTAGCGTCCTTCCTCTTAATTAATAGCTGCCCTAAACCAGCAAGCTCGTTATAAGGTCATGATCATGTACACAGAAGACATGGGTGTAGGATGTTGGAGAGACGAGTTATGTCCTTGGTTTTAGATACAGGCGTTAGTGGATTGTAAGAGCAATGTGCAGAGGTCTATTAGGGCCAGCAGTTGGGTAATTGGCACTGTCTCTATTTGAAGACCTGGGCTGTCCTCAGTGTCACACAAGGATGCAGTGTCTCACCTAGCAGATGCACCTCCTCTCCTAAAACCAAGGTCACACATTCCTTGGATGGCCAGGGTATTTCACAAGAGGAAACATAAGATAGATGATTAAGGAAATTAGGAATGTGTTCAAGAGTCAGCAAGTTAAGGAGTTCTACCAGTTGCTCATTTTGAAAAGTAAATTGGCCTTCACCTACTAGAACAATTCTTAAATTGTGTAACACTTTTTTTAGCTTCAGATCAATCTTTTCAAATTTTTGTTTTGTTTGTACTGAAGTAGAACAGAAATCAGAGGATAGCACACTAGTAAGGACGAGCACTGTGTCAGTAAATTCTTGCTCCAGTTATGCACATATGTATATGTGCCACAGCAGTGGCACTGTAAAGTTTATGTCTTACTGTGGGGTCACATCAAAAAAGGGTCTAATGCCCTGGTAACAATGGCAGAGGTTGTTCACCTTGTGTGTTAAGTGCTCTTTTGAAAAAAGGTCGTGATGGGAGGAAGTTGCCTTAATGGAAATGGAATATGCATCTTTGCCAACAATGTTATTAACTAGAGCCAAGAAAAGAAAGCATGAACAACTTTTTTTTTTAATTTCTGTAGCTATATCATGGAGAAAGCAGATCTTGTCATAGTTGGTGCCGAAGGAGTTGTTGAAAACGGAGGAATTATTAACAAGGTAGGAACATTGGTTCTCCCTAGTTCCTTGTACAGACTTGGCGCTCCCTCGCTGACCTAATACACCACGGCAGTGTGGCACATTATGGTTCATTCTTTTGTTTGTTTGTTTGGTTTTTTGTTTTGTTTTGAGTTGAAGTCTCACTCTGTCACCTAGACTGGAGTACAGTGGCCGCTCCCAGCCACTGCAGCCTCGACCTGCTGGGCTCCGGCGATCCTTCCGCCTCAGCCTTCCGAGTAGCCAGAATTACATGCGCGCGCTACCACACCCAGCTAATTTTTTGATTTATTGTAGAGATGAGGTCTTTCCTTCCCAGGCGGGTCTCAAACCCGCGGGCTCACGCAATCCACTCACCTCAGCCTCTCAAAGGCGCGGGATTACAGGCTGAGCCACTGAGCCCAACATATGGTTCATTCTTCTAGTGCTGCTTTAGCTTCAGGACTTCATCCTGGTCTTGAAGTGTTGCCCAGTTCCAGAAGCCACTGCAGTGGGCAGTCAAATTTTGGTCAGATTTCCTTCTTCTTTGTAGAATGATCTATGTAGGTTATGTACATTAAGACAGTATAATTTATATTTACACAAATCGGGCTTTAATTGGAGTTGGGGTTTGTCTGTTTTTGTTCTTATTTTATTTTATTTTATTTATTTTTTGAGTTGGAGTCTCACTCTGTCGCCCAGTCTGGAGTGCAGTGGCCGCCGCAGCCTCGACCTGCTGGGCTCTGGCGATCCTTCCACCTCAGCCTTCCGAGTAGTGTTTTTATTTTAATGGAGCATATTTTGCAGGGGGCCAACCCCCACAGAGAGATTTAGGAGGTCCCTTGGAAGGTATGGTGGCATCGGCGATTATTCTGGAGAAATAAAGAGAACGAAAGAGACTGGACTCTGTCTAGTGCAGAAGCCGATTCTGAAGGAGGGATACATATTAAAAGAAAGAAAGATGGAGGGATAGATATAAAGAGAAAGAAAGAAAATGGACAACTGTTCAACGAATTGAGCAGAGGCCATTTATTGGAAGTTACAGCGGGTATTTATCCCCAAATTTTACACAGTCTCACAAGTCTTTCACATGAACACAAAGCCAGATGCAGGAGGGGGCGTCCCCCACCCACCAGGTGTTTCCTCAGGCATGAGGAAGAACAATCCCAATTAAATCACAAAACTTTTACATGAACACAAAGCCAGGTGAATGAGGGGCATCCCTCACCCACCAGGTGTTTCCTTGAGTATGAAGAAGGGCAATCCCAATTAAATCACAAGACATTTACATGAACATGGAGCCAGGGGGGTGAGGGGCATTCACCCACCCACCAGGTGTTTCCTCAAGCATGTGGGAAGGAGGATCCCAAAACTATCTCACTGTTCCTCATGCTTGGTTAATATTCCTCAAAAGCAATAACAATTCTAATATCATAATATTCTAATAATCAATAACTTTTAAAACTTATGCATACACAACACCTAATGACCAACTTAAATCCTAATTCCTTTCTATTTCTACTAATTCTACCTACACTATAGAGACTCTTAATAATAGCCCAAACCAGTTCCTAAGGAATGTGGCCCAGTCAAAAGATCACACTGGGCCGTTTCTGGGAACAATTGATTACAATCTCTTAACAAAATGGCTGTTCTAAAATCCTATATATCAGAGCCGGGCTTCATGGCTCAGCCTGTAATCCTGCGCTTTGGGAGGCTGAGGTGAGTAGATTGCCTGAGCCCGCGGGTTCGAGACCCGCCTGGGCAACTTGGTGAGACCTCATCTCTACTATAAATTAAAAAATCAGCCGGGCATGGTAGCGCGTGCCTGTAATTCCGGTTACTCGGAAGGCTGAGGCGGACGGATCGCCGGGGTGAGGCTGCGCTGGCCGGGAGTGGCCACTGCACTCCAGTCTGGGTGACAGAGTGAGACTTTAACTCAAAAAAAATAAATAAATAAAATCCTATGTATCTATTTTAACTTCTATAAAAGTTTCTAATTCCTAATCCTGATCATCAGCAATAAAGCTTCTAAAAAATAAAACCCAAATATAAACTGTAAATTGTATTAAAGCCAAAACCGCAAATGTAGAAAATGGAAACAATGAAATTTCTAAAGTTAGCTGTATTCTTATTAAACCTCAAAATATCACGTTTGATCATGCTTGAACTGACATAATTCACTGACATAGCATAACCTATTCTACAATACTTTCTATGAATAAAATAAATTCAATTTCTGTAATAAGTAGAGAAAATCCTATACTAACTGTAGCTAAAAACCGGTTTAAAAGAAAGCAGCCTAGTCCAAAGTACGCTCCAGGCCCTTAGGAATGTGGCCCAGCCCAAAGTTCATGCCAGGCTGGGCCGTTTCTAGTAACTCTAGATAATTATCTATATTATTAAGGTTGAAACAGCACTTTGTATGTATATACTAATTCTACAAATATACTTTTAAATCTTAAAAGAAGCTTGTACCATATTAAAGGCTCCCAAATGTGACCTGAGTTTGAATTATGTTAAGTTTAAAGCCGAAACCGCAGTCTGTGAGAAACAGGAACAATGGACTCCTAAAGTAAGCCATGCCTGTAGTACTCTCAGAACTTTGTGCTTAGATCATCAAAGTCCCTGCTAGTGGAACGTGCCAAACAGCAAAGAAGGGAAGAGGGAATGGGCCATCAGCTCCTGAACTCATCCTAGTGGTCTCAGGGTCCACAGCCCGCCTAGATCCCTAATGCTCAGGCAGGCCTCCACCGCCGGCTCCCAACAATATTTGACCTCAAGAAAATATTTTATTACAATTTCTCTATCCATTGTTTAACTTGGAAAGGTTTCATTAAAGTTTTTTCATTTTAGCTGTGATATATATAACATGAAGTTTTCCATTTCAACTATTTTTAAGTGGCGTTAAATGTTTACATCATGGTGCTATATCACTACTAGCTGTTTTGAATGTTTCCATCCTTCCCAACAGAACCTCTGTACCCCTCAACAGTCAACCCTCCCCACCCCCAGTCGCCTCTACTCTCCTTTCTGATTTTGCCTGTTCTGCATACCTCCAATAAGCATAATCATGTAGTGTCTGTCTTTCTGTGTTTGCCTTATTCACCTGGCATGATGTTTTCACAGTTCACCCACGTTTTCTTGTTGAATAGGTCATATGTTGTATACCCACTCATCTGTTGATGAGTAAGCAGCCTCATAAAAATGTTGACCGGATTGTTTCCACCTTTGGCTCTTGTAAATAACGCTGCTGCGAACATTGGTGTCCATATATCTGAGTCTCTGATTTCAGTTCTCTTGGGTACATACCTAGAAGCAGAATTGCTAAGCCACATGGTAACTGTACGCTTAGGTTTGTGAGGAATGATCCAGCTCTTCCACAGCAGCTGTACCACTTCACATTCCCACCAGCAATGCACAGGGCTCCAGTGTCTCTGTATCTTGCTGACACTTGATATTTTGTTCTTGATTTTGTTTTTTTTGTTTTTGTTTTCTGTTTTTGGGGGGGTTTTTTTGAGTTGGAGTCTCACTCTGTCACCCAGACTGGAGTGCAGTGGCCGCTCCCGGCCACCGCAGCCTCGACCTGCTGGGCTCCGGCGATCCTTCTGCCTCAGCGTTCCACGTAGCTGGAACTACAGGTGCGCGCTGCCACACCCAGCGAATTTTTTGATTTATTGTAGAGCCGAGGTCTCGCCTGCCCAGGCAGGTCTCGAACCCGTGGGCTCAGGCAATCCACTCACCTCAGCCTCCCAAAGGTGTGGGATTACAGGCTGAGCCACCGAGCCCGGTGATTTTGTTTAATTACAGCATCCAGTAGGTGTGAAGTGGTCTCTTGTGTTGTGTTTTTTTTTGAGTTGGGATCTCACTCTTATCATTCTGGCTGGAATACAGTGGCATGATCACAGCTCACCACAGTTTTGACCCCTGGGCTCAGACCATCCTTCTGCTTTGCCTAATTTGTAAAAATTTTTTTGTAGACCTGAAGTCTTGCTATGTTGTCTAGGCTGGTCTCAAACTCCTGTGGTCAAGCAGTTCCCCTATATCAGCCTCCCAAAGCGCTGAGATTACAGGAATGAGCCACCATGCCCACCCTTTGTATTTTTGGTTTACGTTGCCCTGATGACTAATGATGTTGAGCATCTTTCCATGAGCCTAGTGGCCAATTATATATCCTTGGAGGAATGTCTTTTTTCTTTTTGTAAAGCTTCTCTGTGATTCTAAAGCCAGAATTTCATGCATTACATCCTTACACTTTCTGTTGCTTCTCCTCCAGATGTGCCATAGAGCTCATCCTTCTCCATTTTCTGTCTTCCCAGATTGGAACCAACCAGATGGCTGTGTGTGCTAAAGCACAGAACAAACCTTTTTATGTGGTTGCAGAAAGTTTCAAATTTGTGCGTCTCTTTCCATTAAACCAGCAAGACGTGCCAGATAAGTTTAAGGCAAGAATTTTACTTATTTGAAGGGGTCCTGGAGTCTAAACTGAACCCTTTGGGAAATTGTAGTGCTAAGAATATTCCAGTAGGTTTTTTACTTCCCATTGCTATTTTCCCTAACACTTGGGATACAAAGATAAATCAGTGGTTTGACTCACACATTTGTCCCCAGGATTTCAGTCTGTCTTTATTCACTTAAGCAGCACTGTAGAAGGGCGGAGAGGCTAGTGATTAAGACCCAGCTTTGGAATCAACAGCCTGAGCTCAGCTCCTATCGCCACCACTTAAAACCATGTGACTCTGGGCAGGTCCTTTTGTCGTGGCGTCTGAACTTGCTTCCTTCTCTGTAAAATGGGATAGTATTATCTGACTGGGTTGAGGATTCTGAGAGCATCTTAGCACGGTGCCCTGCACACGGCAAGCTGTCTATAAATAGTGACTCTAAATTCTTACCTTGGGAGATCTGGAGAAATGAATCCAGCACAAAAATGAGGGATGTGATTTCGGTTTTCGTTACACAATGGCTGTTGGCTAGTACACTGCCGTGGTCTGGCTCATGGGGGCAACTCCACCCTCCTCACCAGTGTGCTCCCCAGCTGGCTTCTCCGCTTTCAGGGGGCAGCCTCGGATAGGAGCAAACTAACTGCTCCAGCCTCACTAGTTCAGAGCCCTGAAGGTGTAGGGCAGACTAATGTGTGCTTATCTCCTCAGTACAAGGCAGATACTCTGAAGTTCATACAGACTGGACAGGATCTCAAAGAGGAGCATCCATGGGTCGACTACACTGCCCCTTCCCTCATCACCTTGCTGTTCACAGACCTGGGGGTGTTAACACCCTCAGCAGTCAGTGACGAACTCATCAAGCTCTATCTATAACCAGTGTGCCCTTTCCTGCTGAAGTGAAGCTTCCACAATGGAGGCAGGATGAGTAACTGCCTGACCTTCCAGTGAACCAGGCCAAAACTGGATTGTTTTTAATGAAGATTTATGGACTAAGGATTTAAATTCATAAATCTTGGAAAATCTTTCTTACTCATTTCAGTCCCATCTATAATACGTCCATAGCTCTAAAACTCGACCTAAATTGTGCTTACGGTTTTCAGAAACTTCCATTTTCACTTTCCAGAAATGCAAGTTAGATTATTGGCTACTTAAATGATGAAAGATGTGCCCAAGTCCACCCCCTTTCATCTTCCTCTGCACTCCAGGCTGACTTGCAGAAGCACCAGTGAGAGAGACAAGGCCAAAGGGAGGCGATCCTAACACAGCCACAACCCCTCTGCAACAAATGACTGACAGCTGGTCAGGACATGCTACACGTGATACCTTGTAAGAAAGGCAAGAAGCACTTGCTGGATTTGCATCAGCTTCCGGTGGCAAACATGTCCCTCAACAGGAACAAGCCAAACAGAGTAAAAACTACCAGGAAAACACAAGGAAGGCAGAAACAGAATCTGGCAGACCTGTCCTGCATGGCTCACCAGTTAGGAAGATAACTTCCAGAATATTTGTAAACTGAAATTCTGTATCTCTAAAAGATGAGGATTTCCTTTAAATATTTGGGTCCTAAACAGCTTTTTAAAATTACTTACAGTAACAATTCAGCATCTTTTCAAATAAATTATATGAAAAATTTTGATGTAGTGTTGCATCAGTAAGTGCAGGCTGGCCCCAGGCCTACAACGTATTGGCCATCTTGGTGAAAACACTATACAGTAACGTTCACACGCCTAAGGCACAGTCTATTTAGAAGGATACAATTTATTCAACAAAAAGCATAAAAATTATAGTAATTTTCTTTCCCAGAATATGACTAACTTCCTCTGTTTTTCAGCTATCCACCAATAAAACAATACTGGGACTATTCTTGTTTATATTTAGAGACAAAGTCTTGCTTTGTTGCCCAGGTGTGCAATAGCACAATCATACCTTATTGCAGCCTCTCAAGTAGCTGGGACTATGGGTGTGCACCACTATACCTGGCTAATTTTATTTTTTTAGAGCCAGAGTCTCGCTCTGTTGCCCACCTGGTCTTGAACTCTTGGGCTCAAGTGATCCTCTCACCTTGACCTCCAAAGTGCTGGGATTGACCATTGTTTTGTTAAGCGCTGGACAGGTTATGTGCTCTTTGAACTATGTGCCATGTTAGCTTTGGCCCTCTCCCCTACCTTGGGGAGATGAATCTCTGTAACTTATTTTCTAAATACACTGTATCTTCCAATCTTAAAAAAAAAAAAAAACAACCAATGTGCTGGGATTATGGGCATGAAGCCACTATACCAGGCTCTGGGGCTATTCTTAGAAAAGAAAAACCCCAGCATATGAGCCACCTGTGCAGGGCATCAAAGGATAACTGAAGTCTGGTGACAAGGATACCCAGGGATGTCAGGTGCCTGAAAATACCAAGAAACTTTAAAAAGCCTAAAGTATATTTCACTATCTTCATGTTTAAAAATAAGTACAAGCCGGGCTCGGTGGCTCAGCCTGTAATCCTGCGCCTTTGGGAGGCTGAGGTGAGTGAATTGCCTGAGCCCGCGGGTTCGAGACCCACCTGGGCAGCGAGACCTCATCTCTACAATAAATCAAAAATCATCCGGGCGTGGTAGCATGTGCCTGTAATTCCGGCTACTCGGAAGGCTGAGGCGGAAGGATCGCCAGAGCCCAGCGGGTCGAGG